AGCCTAGAAACAGAAATAATCTAGAAACAGAAATAGCCTAAATCACAAATAACCTAGAAACAGAAATAGCCTAGAAACACAAATAACCTAGAAACAGAAATAGCCTAGAAACACAAATAACCTAGAAAAAGAAATGATCTAGAAACAGAAATAGCTAGAAACGCAAATAACGTAGAAACAGAAGTAGCCTAGAAACAGAAATAGCCTAGAAACACAAATAACCTAGAAAAAGAAATAATCTAGAAACAGAAATAGCCTAGAAACGCAAATAACCTAGAAACAGAAATAGCCTAGAAACACAAATAACGTAGAAACAGAAATAATTTAGAAACAGAAATAGCCCAGAAACACAAATAACCTAGAAACCGAAATAATTTAGAAACAGAAATAGCCTAGATACAGAAATAGCTTAGAAACACAAATAACCTAGAAACAGAAATAATCTAGAAACAGAAATAGCCTAGAAACACAAATAATCTAGAAACAGAAATAGCCTAGAAACACAAATAACCAGAAACAGAAATAATCTAGAAACAAAAATAGCCTAGAAACAGAAATAATCTAGAAACAGAAATAGCCTAGAAACACAAATAACCTAGAAACAGAAATAGCCTAGAAACACAAATAACCTAGAAAAAGTAATAATCTAGAAATAGAAATAGCCTAGAAACGCAAATAACCTAGAAACAGAAATAGCCTAGAAACACAAATAACCTAGAAAAAGATATGATCTAGAAACAGAAATAGCTATAAACGCAAATAACGTAGAAACAGAAGTAGCCTAGAAACAGAAATAGCCTAGAAACACAAATAACCTAGGAAAAGAAATAATCTAGAAACAGAAATAGCCTAGAAACGCAAATAACCTAGAAACAGAAATAGCCTAGAAACACAAATAACGTAGAAACAGAAATAATTTAGAAACCGAAATAGCCTAGATACAGAAATAGCCTAGAAACACAAATAACCTAGAAACAGAAATAATCTAGAAACAGAAATAGCCTAGAAACAGAAATAATCTAGAAACAGAAATAGTCTAGAAACACAAATAACCTAGAAACAGAAATAGCCTAGAAACACAAATAACCTAGAAACAGAAATAGCCTAGAAACACAAATAACCTAGAAAAAGAAATAATCTAGAAATAGAAATAGCCTAGAAACGCAAATAACCTAGAAACAGAAATAGCCTAGAAACAGAAATAGCCTATAAAGGCAAATAACCTAGAAACAGAAATAGCCTAGAAACGCAAATAACCTAGAAACAGAAATAATTTAGAAACAGAAATAGCCTAGAAAGAGAAATAGCCTAGAAACACAAATAACCTAGATAAAGAAATAATCTAGAAACAGAAATAGCCTAGAAACACAAATAACCTAGAAACAGAAATAATCTAGAAACAGAAATAGCCTAGAAACAGAAATAGCCTAGAAACAGAAATAACCTAGAAAAAGAAATAATCTAGAAGCAGAAATAGCCTAGAAATGCAAATAACCTAGAAACAGAAATAATCTAGAAACAGAAAGAGCCTAGAAACAGAAAGAGCCTAGAAACAGAAATAATCTAGAAACAGAAATAGCCTAGAAACAGAAATATTCTAGAAACAGAAAAAGACTAGAAACAGAAATAATCTACAAACAGAAATAGTCTAGAAGCAGAAATAGTCTAGAAACACACAATTGGTCGGGAAGGAAGAAAGGAAAAAATATCAAAAGATGAGGAAAAGAAATTTGCAAGACAAAATGATGAAAAAAATTTAAAAATACAAAAAAAAAAGAAGATATTTTCTTTTGCAAAAACGAAAGAATTCAACTGAAGAAAACAGAAAAAAATTGAAAAGAAAGACTAGGAAGATAAATAGAGGAAGAGAAATTGGAAAGAAAGACTAGGAAGATAAATAGAGGAGGAGAAATTTGAAAAGAAAGACTAAGAAGATAAATGGAGGAGGAGACATTGGAAAGAAAGATTACCAAGGTAAATAGAGGAGAAGAGATTGGAAAGAATGATTAGGAAGAAAAATAGAGGAGGAGAATTTGGAAGAAAGACTAAGAAGATAAATAGAGGAGGAGAAAGTGAAAAGAAAGACTAGGAAGATAAATACAGGAGGAGAGATTGGAAAAAAAGATTAGGAAGATAAATAGAGGAGGTGAAAGTGAAAAGAAAGACTAGGAAGATAAATGGAGGAGGAGACATTGGAAAGAAAGACTAGGAAGATAAATAGAGGAGGAGAATGTGAAAAGAAAGACTAGGAAGATAAATGGAGGAGGAGACATTGGAAAGAAAGACTAGGAAGATAAATAGAGGAGGAGAAATTGGAAAGAAAGATTAGGATGCTAGTCTTAGTCAAAAGTATAGAATAATGAAAATTCTTCATCTCGAAAATTAAAACAAAAATACTAGATACACATGAAGAAAGAATTTCAGAAATTTAAATTCAATGTTAGTCATTATCTTTTGACTTCATAATTCCTGTTCTTTTATTGTTATCACTCCTTAATAATGACTTTTTTTATTTCTAATATTTTTTTCATGCTCAATACCCTCTTGTGTCATAGCAGTTTTATTCCCTTGCTTTGGGTGAAATGATAAAAAAGAATAATTGTCAAAAATGACAAGTAAATTATGAAATGAACAAAAATGAAATAATAACAAAAGGAACAGATATTTTGTTCCAAGAGGTTGCAAAATTAATCTCTGAAAATTTCGAGATCTGTAACACACACACAAACACACACACACATTCTGTATCTCCTTTCTCACAGACAAAATGTCCCTGTCATACCATTATTTCCATGAATATGTTCAGACAAGTGACATTCTTTAGTATCATTAGTTTAGACCTTTACAGTCACATAAACAGATTGAAATCATCGTCATTTGTGTCATACACTACAGGCAAAAAGTCTGGAGAAACCCAGAATTTCTTCAAAAAAGCCACTTAAAATGAGATTGTTTTGTATTTCTTTTAAAGTAAAAGATAACATTTCAGTAACTGCAGTGTATTTGCTTTTATTTTTCAGTCTTTCTCTTGGCCCCTCTTACTATCAAAAAATTCAAATTTGAATTCATCTGTCCACAATAAATTTTGCTAAATTATGAATATTCTGTATAAGAATTATTATATTTTGTTTTCACCATTAACCTCTCAGTAAACTTTCTGAGATTACCAAAAGGGCTGGAAAATTGATTCAAGTCAAGGGAATCATGAAAATGATCAATATCATTCAATTTGGCAAAGACGGATTTATGCTTAATTGGAAAAAAATCACATTTCAAGAAGGCAACAATCCAAAATACTCTTTTAAATTATATCAAAATTACCTCAAATCAAAAAAAAAAAGGAACAAAATTTTAGAAATTATGGCTTGGATGCCTCAATCTCCTGATCTTCCACCCTTTGAATTAGTATGGGATGAATTGGATAGGAGAGTTCAAGGAGAGTACCTAAAGAGTGAGAGTGAGATTTTTTCTGTGCTTGAAGAAGAAAAAAGAAATAATAAAGAAAGGTACAGATATTTTATTCCAAAGGGTTGCTTGAAGAGTGCTTACAAATGTTTGCCATCTACTTTTTTTTCAAAAACCGTTGGAGAATGTGTAAAGCAGTAATTAAGGCAGGTATTGGTTTTATTGATGAAAACAAAATATGATGCTGTTGTATGATAAACTTTTATAGTTTCTAACTATATTTACATTGAATATTGCAGTCCATGTCTAGAAATCTTCAACTTTTTGCCAATTTGTTTTGAGAGTAACCTATTTTGAGTAAAATTTGGTGGTTTTATCACCTTGCTTGGGGTGAAATGATTCAAAAATATATCATACTTACATTGAAGGAAATATTATTAGGTTGAGTTAGAAGTAATTTTCTGCTCTACTGAGGAACAGGAACACAGCAGATTAACACCCGCAACAAGTTTCCAAAATAAATACACTCTCAACTACTACAAGTTCAAATTGTAAACTATCAACTACAAAGCTGAATGGACTTTTGTCACCCAAATTACAAAGGACTCACTCCAATCAAAATCAAATAAATAAACATATATTATTTGTTTATACATTTAATTCTGTGAATTTATTTTTGAAGTTTATGATAAATAAGACACAGAATCCTCTGGCACTTCTCCACACAAACACTTTCTAAGAACAATTATTAAAAATGCTTTCATGATGTTCAATCAGCTTAACAGTTGCCTCAAGTCATGATGAATAATTGGATTTCCAATGGAGTTCAGTGATTTGAATGTTTATAAGGGCTCAATTTCAATTACCATTGCTAAAGATGCTGAAAGAATGGTCAACTCATTCCATTCCTTCAGGAAATACCTGACTCCTTCTGCTATGCTTTATCTTTATAAGAGTCAGATTCAACCTAATATAGAGTTTTGTTGCCATGTTTGGTCTGGAGATGCTCAATCCACCTTTCCATGCTTTGAATGCCTATTAAGGCTCAATTTCACTTTCCATATATTGATCCATTGATAAAGATGCTGGAAAAATGGCCAACTCATTCCATTCCTTCAGGAAGTCACCAGATTCCTGGTATGCTTTTCTTTACAAGAGTCTGATGCAACCAAACATGGAGTCTTGCTACCATGTTTGGGCTGGAGATGCTCAATCCATTTTTCCATGGTTTGAATGTTTATAAGGGCTCAGTTTCAATTTCCATATATTGATCCATTGATAAAGATGCTGGAAAAATGGTCAACTCATACCACTCGTTCATGAAGTACCTGAATCCTTCTGCTATGCATTATCTTTACAAGAGTCAGATTCAACCAAAAATGGAGTCTTGTTGCCATGTTTGGGCTGGAGATGCTCAATGCAATTTTCAGCTTTAATGGAGTGTAAAATCATTTGCCTATTGATGCTGGGAAAGACATATTTTCTACCTTGCAGCTTCTTTCTTACAGATATAACCCCCTGCCTTGAGTGGCTTTTGTGCCCGGTATTAGCTGAACTTTAATAAAGAAAAATGTTTCCTAACAACGCATGTGATCATGTCACTCCAAGATTTCCTCTCTTCTGTTGCTGTATGTAATTTTGACCCTTTATATCGATTATTAAAGACGCTGGTAAAATTATCAACTTATTCCATTTCTTCAGGAAATACCTGACACCTTCTGCTTTGTTTTATCTTTACAAGAGTCAGATTCAACCAAAAATGGAGTCTTCCTGTCACGTTTGGGCTGGGAAGGCTCAATCCACTTTTCCATGCTTTGAATGTCTATTAGGGCTCAATTTCACTTTCCATATATTGATCCATGCTTGAAAAATGGTCAACTCATTCCATTCCTTCAGGAAATACCTGACTCCTTCTGCTATGCTTTATCATTACAAGAGTCACATTCAACCAAAGATGGAAACTTGTTGTTATGTTTGTGTTGGTGATGCTCAGTCCACTTTTCCATCCTTTGAATGTTTATTAGAGCTCAATTCCAATTTGTTCTTGTAAAGATAGTTAAGATGAATGAGGTGTGTGATATGAATAAAATAAAAATTAATTAATTAAAGGTAAAAAGATGAAATGAAAAATTTTTAAAATAAAGAAATGTGAGAAAAAATGCAAAACAAATTGTTCTTGAACGGCCATCCATTTATACAATGTCGTTAATTTATTTTTCTTTCTGTTTACCCCCTGCTCTTCTTGAATTCAGTGTCCTGGGAGTGCCAAATTCTCCAGACTCTCTTTCCTTATTATGTACCCTATGGTAAGTGATGTAAGGTAAGTTCATTTGTTGGTGATTATCTCCCTTGACTAAAGAACTCTCTTAGTCTAAACCACTATAAATAGTATTTATTTTTGAAGTAATGTATTCTAAGCTAAATAAACTTTCCTATGTTACACTGTTCCCCCATGTCTTATTAGAGTTAGTATCAATTTTTCAGTCTTTCTTTTCCAGCATAAAAATCAAATAATAAAAGCAGAGAATAATGATATTTCTGAAAAAAAGTGAGGCAAAAAATTCAATAGACACCTGAAGAAAACCACAAGGTAAAACAGTCGAAACATTTTGGGTAAAGCAACTATGTGCTATAACTTGTTGAATACTTTTGTGTAAATTATGAAACCTTAATAGAAAATGAAGAAAATAAGGGAGAAAAAAGAAAGCAAGATAGAATAAAAGATGAAGAAGTAAAAAAGAGAGAGAGATCTCATGAAAGAAAACAATGAAAGGAAAAAGAAGGGATAGGAATTAAAGGTAAAAAGAAGAAAGAAAAGAAATTCTTAAAATAAAGAAATGTGAGGAAAATGAAGAAAAGAAAGAAGAAAAAAAGAAAGAAAGCAAGAAAGAATAAAAGATGAAGAAGCAAAATGGAGAGAGATCTCATGAAAGAAAAATAAATCAGCTGGAAAGTAAAAAGAAGAGATAGAAATTAAAGATAAAAAGAAGAAAAGAAATTCTTAAAATATTTTAAAAAGAATTCATTCATTTCTTTCATCTGCCATTGCTAACGATGCTGGAAAAATGGTCGGCTCATTTCATTCCTTCAGGAAGTACCTGACTTCTTCTGCTATACTTTATCTTTACAAGAGTCAGATTTGACCAAAGATAGAGCTTTATTACCATATCTGGCCTGGAGCTGCTCGATCTTCAATTTCCAGCCTTGATGGAAGTCAGAATTGTTTACACTGTCTTCTGGGCGATGATTGATTTTATATTCTGCAGTCCTTTCTTATAAAATGAAATGTCACAAGCCAATCGCTATTTCCATTGCAAATATTCAGATGAATTCCATTCTTTAGTTCTACCCGTTCAGGCATGGAATGTACCTTCCATTTACTTAAAACACACTCATTTCCTCTGTATTCCAAATTAAGGTGAAAGTTCTATTCAGACAGCTTTTTCCTCAAGACGATTCTTTAAGGAACAGTCACCCATGCGGATACTTCCCTGAACACTACAGTCTTAACCTCTTCAAGTCAAGACTCAATCATAATTTATCCTCAGAATCTTTGCTTCCAACCAGTTTCTTTTTTATTCATATCAGACACCTCATTCATCTTAACCATATTAAAGAGTAACCCTTAACCTTAAGTGTCTCTTGAGCCTTGTATTGAATAAACTTTAATAAAAACAAAATGAAACAAGTAATTTCAGTTTACTAATCAAATATCAATTCTCTGATCTCATATCCAGTTTTGCATCATTTCTCTCTGCGTAAGATATTACTTTCAGGAACAGGATACAACAGCCATTGTATATGTGAGGGCAAGATTTAAAGGCTACTGACTTGGAATGAGAAATTGAAATTACTGAGGTTGAATTCTAGTTGGGTCTCTTACCATTATTTATGTGCAAATAACCTTAGAAAAGGTATCAATCAACCTCTCACTCCCAGCTATGGATTAAATAGTATAACTTGTATCTGAAAAAAATCATTATTATTCACCAAAAAATTGTAAAGGTTGATAAGCTGTAAAAAAACAAATCTATCAATCAATTAGCAGCCATTACACATCGTTAATAAATTAATGCCTAAAACTATTAGCATATTCAAATATTCATCAATTATGGGATAGAATTTCTCCCCCAGTTGAAAAATCATTTGTTCATTTGCCTTAATATTTCATATATAAAATGTATCAACTATTATGGGACACATAATATTTTATATACTTACCTGTCCCATAATAGTCGTTACATTTTCATACACATTTCATATGCTACATGTATGAACTATTATGGGACAGATGTAATATCTTATATATTTGTTACTGCCTCTGTCCCATGGTCATTGTTACATTTTCATACACATTTCATATAAGAAATATCTCAACTATTATGTGACAGAGGTAATATTTTATATATATATATATATATATATATATTATTACTTCAGTTCCATAATAGTTGCTACATTTTCATATACATATATTTATTCTGTACTTATTTTCTGGAATGACATCTCTATACTTTCTGGAAACAAAAGATGTTGTTTTTTACACTATTTACATTATTCAGACTATTGTCCTCATCTTTGTCGCCATATTTATTACAAAGTTTCAACCATTGTACACTCTGGCCTTCTTCAGGTCATTGGAATGTTGAACTGAACTCTTTATTTCGCTTACTGGGGTAGACTGTTCTAGTACCACGTGCCATGTTTAATGGATGTCAGTTATCAGTTATCTACTTGAGGACACATGGCACAGTGGATAAAGGCGTTGGTTAGATCCAGTGACAGGAACCAAAGAGTGTGCCCGGTTAAGGCAGTGGAGAACTTGCAGAAGGGAATTAACAGGAGATAACTGATAACTGACATCCATTAAACATGGCACGTGGAACTAGAACAGTCTACCCCAGTGAGCGAAATAAAGGGTTCAGTTCGGCATTCCAACTACCTGAAGAAGGTCAGAATGTACCATGGCTGAAACGTTGTAATAAATATGGTGACAAAAATAGGACAATAGTCTGAATAATATAAATAATGTACATAATACCTCATCTCAGAAAAATAAACAGATAATGTTGTTTTTGTTTTTTTTGAAAATTTAAAGGTATAATGATTTTCGACTAATAAAAAACCTCAGCTCAATAGCATTATCACAAAATGAAGCCATGAATACAAATTTAGTCTTCTGGTTAATTTTCAGTTCAAGTAATATCAAGGATGCTGAAGCCGCTTGCAGCCACCTCTGTACTGCCCTGAATGTCATTAATACTGGAGGGAGACTAATTCCTACTAAGTGGGTTTAGTAAAAATCTGTTCAAAGTAATTTGCACTAAAAATAGTAGATCTTACTTGTGAGTATCTTTAGTTCAGAAGGAATACAAAAATAGACATGAATGGGTAGGAATGGCGATCCACTTGGAATTGTTTAAATGACTTGGATTCAACTGTGTGAACTATTGACATAAGAAGAAAACAAAATTTGCTCATGAGAAATGTAAAACTCTTTCACATCAGATGTCCTTAGAAACAATGTTATCAGTGGATTTTACCATTCGATGTGTCAACAAAATGAAGCTAAAAGCGTGAACCTTTTAAATATCAGAACCTTGTCTAAGAATTTTTTTTTAAAAAGTGTGCAAATAATTATTGGAATGCTTGGAATGAACCTGAAGACTTTGCCACTCAGATGACAAACTCAAGCAACATAGATAAAGGAATTCTGTCTGACTTCTTAAGATGAGGAATTACCATTGTTGTAAAGTATAGAATTTTGGTCAAGAATCAAGAAAGTATTCACACATGCTGATGCACTGGTTTTTCTTTCTAGATGAAATTTATTTATAGTTTCAGTTCTAATATGTAAATTAGTATGTCACTACAATCATTATTATAGCTAGCAGTCATAAGCTCAATTTCTAAGCCAAGTACTGAAAAAGATTATATGCTCTGGTTTAAAGATTAATTAGAAAGAATGAATTGACATAGTGGAATAGGAACAGACTAATTCTATGCATTAATGAAAGTGTTTAATTTGAAATTTTCAGCAGACTAACTACACAGCAGCTTGAAGAAAGACCAGATGGAATAATGGCATATACATTTTTTGCTATAAAAACAACAAGGAAAATACTTTAGGTATATTCATATATAATAATAACGGCTAATCTCAGAAATAGTGGAAACATTGTGATTATAACAAGCAAGATGAGGATACCAGTTTAAAAGAATTATTGTATAATAATGATAATTCTTTATCTCAGAAGGAGAAGAAACATTGTGATTATAACAAGCAAGATGAGGATACCAGTTTAAAAGAATTATTGTATAATAATGATAATTCTTTATCTCAGAAGGAGAAGAAACATTGTGATTATAATGAGGGAACTCAGGAGATTAACTTTCATGTAGAGGATAGAGATTGGCAAAGAGTAAAGATGAAAAAACTGTTGGTGGAGAAAGAGTTGTAGAAATGGATATATAGTATAATATAGAAATATAGTATGGAAATCGATATATAGTGAGGAAGAAATGGATATATAGTATAATATAGAAATATAGTTTAGAAATCGATATATAGTGAGGAAGAAATGGATATATAGTATAATATAGAAATATAGTATGGAAATCGATATATCGTGAGGAAGAAATGGATATATAGTATAATATAGAAATATAGTATAGAAATCGATATATCGTGAGGAAGAAATGGATATATAGTATAATATAGAAATATAGTATAGAAATAGATATATAATGAGGAAGAAATGGATATATAGTATAATATAGAAATATAGTATAGAAATCGATATATAGTATGGATGAAATGGATATATAGTATAATATAGAGATATAGTATAGAAATTGATATATAGTAAGGAAGAAATTGATATATAGTAAAGAAGAAGAGAGGGTAATATGAGGTCTTGATGGCGTAAGCAAGATGAAAGATGAGGTTAGAAGAGACAGATGGAAAGAAGTCAATATCAATGTGCAAGCAGAAATGTAGATAAAAATAATGTTGAAAAAAGAGTCAAAGATGCTGCTGAAGGATATGATAATGATTGTATGAGAAAGAGGAATAAAGGTAAAAAAAAGAATGCAAAGATGGAATGGTTGAAAATGCTCAAAAGCATAAAAAACATTGAAAGTTTGTGTACCCTTTGGGAGGAATAAAATTTTTTAGTCAATATAATGTCATTTTTGGAAGTAATTAGTGAAAAATAGTAGAAAAAGAGTTACAAAGTCATCTAGCAATCTTTCCATCATTGATCAATATAACAGGTTAAGTGTCTGTTAAGTAGAAATGCATTATGGGAAATTTGTTTTATTATTAAAAAGTTATTGCTAGAAATAAGATAAAAACACTTTTATTTGCAGATAGATGTTAGAAGACAATCTCTTTCTCTATGTGTCATGTTGGTTTGGGATGTGTGTGATCATGACTCTCCACAGCTTCCTGTTTTTTGTCTTGTGGTTGATTAATTATTTCCAAATATTCAAATATTGCTAACCTTTCATTTATCTCTTTTTATTACTATGGTAAATGTTCTAAAGAGTTACATTCCTTAGACCCGCCAGCTCAAACCTTTACAGCTAGAACCCACCATGCACAGGGGATAGGAAGTTGTGGGGAGCCATGAGCACCTATGTCCAGAAGTGGTGCTTCACATAAAAGAAGACAGATTCAGAAAGAGACAGTTGAAATTCTTCAGCAGGTAATAGCAGGTGATTTTTTAGCAGGTGATTTTTTCCTCTGACCTCACTCTCAAAGGTCAATGGAGGTGGGGCAGACTGGTTTCTATCATTCAGTACTTCTTCCAAAATGAAGCTACTAATGCTTCATCAACACTGAGCAGAGTCTAACTTTACCTCAGTCCTGACGGGCGGTCATACTCTAAGTGATGTTCCTTGCCTTGAAAGTCTATTGGGGTGGAAGCTCACTACATACCTGAAATAATACTATTGTCTTAGATAACAAGAGAATGGCCGGTTCTTTGCCTTGCTTCAGAAAATGCCTAACTCCTACTATCATGCTCTATCTTTACAAGAGTCAGTTTAGACCAAGAATAGAGTATTGCTTCCATATCTGGTTTGGTGCAGCACAGATCGCCCTGTCCAATCTTGACAGAGTTCAAAAGTGACCACATAGTTCTGTGGGTGATGAATTATTTTCCACGATGTAACCCCCTTTTCACAGATGAAACTTTGCTAGCCTCTCTTGCTATTACTATGGTAGATGTTCAAATGAGCTACATTCATTAGATCCACCAGTTCAGACCTTCACAGCTAGGAGCTGCCATGCCACATACACAGTGCCAAATCCTCCTCATTCCCTTCTGTATTCCATTGGTAAGGAGGAAGTTTCACTTAGAGAGATTCTTCTCCAGAACTGTTACTTTGTGGAAGAAATAACCAAGAAGATACTTCTATGATCACTAGAATCTTAACAGCTTCAAATCAAGGGCCAATTGTTATCTGGCCTATGTAACCTCATAATATGCACCCCCTACCTTCTTCTACCTATCTTATGCCATTACAACAATCTCACTTAGTAAGACTCTACTTTGAGTGGCACTTGAGCCTTGCTAAAATTTTCAAAAGGGCCTATGAAGAATTAAAGAGAAATGGCTTAAGAAGAATTGAGTATCACCAATGGTATACAGATGGTATACAGAAAAGAAGAAAAGGCTGGTATACAGAAAAGAAGAAAAGTCATACGCATCTTTAGAATAAAATTATGGAAGACGAAAACAATGCTGGTATTCTCAAGCAGTCACTCATTTAGGTACCAATCAGTTTTGACGTTGCTTAACTTTGATGAACATACTGGTAACTGGTGTAACACTCAACTTCATTCTTCATATGTGTTTGTATGTGTTTTTTTTTTATCTGTCTCATTAGATCTTCTTTACAAGGACAGTCACAACATTAATGTAAATTATATCAGGAAATTAAGTCTTTAATATTCTTTGCCGTCTCGCCAATCTCAGTTTCAATGGCTTTGTCAGTTCTGGTGCTGCATGGAATTTTTCTATTCAGCTAAATGTTGATATATACCTGTTTCCAGTCTCGTCACTAACTAGATATTTATTATTGTTCTATATCAATATTTCATTTTTTTCTGTCTCTCATTATGCATTAATATTTTTCTATCTTTCTATTAGTCCTTTCTATTACATTTTTCTTTCTATTGTGGCCTTTCTATTATTCACATTATATATTAATATTTTTCTATCTTTCTATTAGTCCTTTCTATTACATTTTTCTACCCTTCTATCTCTCTATGTGGCCTTTCTATTATTCACATTATTCTTCACTCTATAACACCATTAATATTTTTCTATCTTTCTATTAGTCCTTTCTATTACATTTTTCTACCCTTCTATCTCTCTATGTGGCCTTTCTATTATTCACATTATTCTTTCTATACCATTAATATTTTCTATCTTTCTATTAGTCCTTTCTATTACATTTTTCTACCCTTCTATCTCTCTATGTGGCCTTTCTATTATTCACATTATTCTTCCTCTATAACACCATTTATTTTCTATCTTTCTATTAGTCCTTTCTTCATTTTCTACCCTTCTATTCTCTATGTGGCCTTTCTATTATTCACATTATTCTTCTCTATAACACCATTAATATTTTTATCTTTCTATTAGTCCTTTCTATTACATTTTTTTCTATTTCTATGTGGCCTTTCTATTATTCACATTATTCTTCACTCTATAACACCATTAATATTTTTCTATCTTTCTATTAGTCCTTTCTATTACATTTTTACCCTTCTATCTCTCTATGTGGCCTTTCTATTATTCATTATTCTTCACTCTATCATTAATATTTTTCTATCTTTCTATTAGTCCTTTCTATTACATTTTTTATCTCTCTATGTGGCCTTTCTATTATTCATTATTCTTTCTTAACACCATTAATATTTTTCTATCTTTCTATTAGTCCTTTTATTATACCCTTCTTCTCTCTATGGCCTTTCTATTATTCACATTATTCTTCACTCTATAACACCATTAATATTTTTCTATCTTTCTATTACTCCTATTACATTTTATTTTTATCTCTCTATTACACCTGTTCTTCTCTCTCTATTACACCTTTCTATTCTCCTCTCTTTTTTTATCTCTGTTATACGTCTCTCTTCTTTTGTCTCCATTATGCCTTTCTATTTTTATCTCTCTATCACACCTTATTATTCTTTTTTATATTTTCTCTCTATTACACTTTTCAGTCCTTGTCTCTCTCTTCTCTCAATCATACCTTTCTATTTTTATCTCTCTATTACCCTGTCTATACTTCTCTCTCTATTGCACTTTCCTATTTTTATCTCTCTATTCAGTCAGTTATGTGCCATGCATGATACATGCTTAGGCGATCATGTATCTTTCAATACATGACTGATGAGGCAGATATTTTTTTCCGCAGTAGGTCGCCATTTCTTTCTGTGGTAGACCGGTTGCCATCCAAGGCTATAGAACACAGTCTGTCCTGCTATTTACCCATAGCTGGGGGGAGAAGAATAGGATTCATACCTTTCCCAAGGGTATTAGCATGTAAGTGAATGCAATGGATTCAACTGGAATTTGAACTCGGCTCTCCAATTACTCAATTTGAGCCATTATCTATTACACCATTGTGCCTCCCATTACACCTCTCTCTATTACACCTTTTTATTCTTCTCACTTTTTTCTCTCTATTACACCTCTCTAATTTTCTCTCTCTTTTACATTTTTCTGTTCTTCCCTCTCTCTATTACACCCTACTATATATAAAAATTCCTCTCTCTTTTATAGCTTTCTATTCTTCACTATCTCCATTATACCTTTCTCTTCTTCTCTCTCCCCATTACACATTGCTATACTTCTCTTTATTCTTCTCTCTATTACACCTTTATATTTTTCTATCTCTCTATAACAGCATTCAATATTACTTGTTTCTCTTTTTCTGTCTCTATTACACGTTTCTAATCTGCAGCAATATAGAAGAAGCTAATGCTAGGTGCAGATTTGTCTGCCAGGTGTACATAAGTAAATTCTCAGATCAATGATTAAAAATGGCTTCTGGCGAATGAGGCACCTTTGAATCTTATAGACTGATACTACAGAATCACAAATAGCAGAAACGTCACTTTTAAATATCAGGAAGAACTCAAATGGATCAAACAACTTTTTATTCTTCTCTCTATCTATTACACTTGCCTATTCTTCTCTCTATGTTGATTCCATCATCACCAATTGAACCGTGAACTATCACCAATCATGATCAATAAATGTTTCCTCAAGGAGACCCTTTGCCTTAAGTGACTACTGGGCCTTAAACTCAACCCAAACTTCAGGTGGAACTTGTACATACGATCCATCATGAAAGGAAAAATGTTTGGTTCTCTGTACAGCTCCAGTCAGTAACTAACTCCTCTTGCTATCTTCTACATTAACAAGAGCTGTATCAGGCATGGAGTACTGCTGTTATATTTGGGCAGGAGCTGCTCAGTCCTCACTTTCCAATCATGATAGAGTCCAAAAGCATCTCTGTGTCTTTGTGAGTGACAAATTATTTTCCACTTTACAACCTCTGCTCTACTGTTACTTCCATGGAAAGTGCTCAGATGAGCTACTGTCCTTAGTTCTGCCATTTCTAACCTTCACAACTAAGAATCATGCTACACACATCATAACAAACTATCCCCATTCCCTCTGAATTCTATTGGTGAGAAGTTTCACGCAAGTAGCTTCTTCTTGCAAACCACTCCTCTATGAAACCGACTCCCAAGATGATGTTCTCTGAACAACCTTAACCTATTCAAGTCTAGGGTTAACTGTTATCTATCTAACAAACAGGCATAAACTGTGCCTTTTACTCTGTAACCATATAACTCGAGTAGCTCCTGGGCCTTGTAAAGCGTCCTGGGTATGACAATAAACTACATCCATGTCCTGGGTATGACGATAAACTACGTCCAACAACAAGGCATCAGATAATGTTTTCGGAAAAATAATGTTGCCAGCTATACGTTTTTGAAACAATAATGTTACCAGCTATACGTTTTTTGGAAAAAATAATGTTGCCAGCTATGTGTTTTTGAAACAATAATGTTGCCAGCTATACTTTTTGGGGGAAAAATAATGCTGCCAGCTATATGTTTAATAGTACTGTATATTTAATATATGTATAGGTATATGTGTATGTATGTGTATGTGTGTATATATATATATATATATATATATATATATATATATATATATATATATATATATATATATATATATATATATGTATATTTGTGTGTGTGTGTATGTATGTATATATGTGTGTGTATATATATATATATATATATACCTTAATTTGGCATTAAATGACCCACAGTGGTTGATATGCCATAAAACCCAACCAACCAACCAATGGGCCTTGTAAAGGGTGAACCTCAGTGTAAAAAAAATTACAACTTTTTATTTTCTTCTCTTCTTAATACACCTTTCTATTTACACATAACCTCACCCAAATTTATAAACAAGTTTCTCGGTTTCATGAAATAAATCTGGAATTGGCAGTGTAAGCAACAGAAATGGGATATATCACTCATTAATGCTCAATAGCAGATGTTCTCAACCTTTTTCTCTTCATGGCCCCCCCTTATGATGGATGATTTCTTTTATGCCCCCCCCCCCACTCTGAGCCTTTTACAAATCTCATTTTACAATTTCTGGAACAAATAAACACTGATATTTCTTTATATAAACTTCCAAATTACTTCTTTTAAAAAACAAAACCAGTTAAATGAAGTAAATTTTTATTTTGGTGAAAAAGGTTCTGGAGATAAATGTCCACAGAAATTTAAATAGTCCTGCAAAATAAAAAAAAATAAAGTTATACAAAATAAATTTTATATAAATGCACACTAGTAACATAAAAGACACTTGAAAATTATATTATTACATAATTTAAGTTTATTAGAACTAAAATATAGATGGCAACACGCTTGGACCACTTTGGCAACTTTCTCTGAATTTGTGGCCTCTTTAATCCCAAAATTTTGTGTGGCCCCACCAAAAATGTACCAGGGCCCCCTTGTAGTCATGTGATTCCCTGTTAAGAATCACTACACTATAAGAACAAAAATGCAGGTTATTTAAACCAGAATATATTTTTAGATTGTATATGTTTTTTGGAGATAATAATGATTTAGTGATACAAGGCATACTAATTAATCCATAGCTGGGGGAATAAGATACCTAAATAAAATACCTTTTCTCAAGCATATTTGTGCATAAGTGAATATAACAACCCTGGCTGGAATTGAAACTCAGCTCTTTGATTTCAAATTCTGAGAGAGAATCCATTACACTGCCGTTACATCCAAGCTTATAGCACCTGACATTTCACAGTGATGGCTCATCTAGATACTGACCATGCTCAAAGTTGCTTAACTCTGGCAATTGTATGAAAACCAGTGTTTCAACATGATATGGCCTTAAGAAATATCATCCAGACATCAAATCTTACAGCACTTGGTATCCCAATGGGATCACCCATCTAGTTACTGACCATGCTCGAAGTTGCTTAACTTTAGTAGTTGTGTGAGAACCCGTGTTTCAATGTGATATGGCCATAAGCAATATCATCCAGACATCAAATCTTACAGCACCTACTATTCCCAAGTGATCACCCATCTATGTACTGACCATGCTTGAAGTTGCTTAACTTTGGTGATTGTATGGGAACTAGTGTTTCAACATATGTTCAAAAGCTGTAACATCCTAGAAAAGAGAGAATAACATTTTGATGGAGCCGTGTATGAGTCATTCTAACAAGAAGGATTCTATCAGCTCATAATCCTTGACAAGTGTATTGTTGACGGCATTCATTGTCTTTCATTCATACAGCTAATGAAGACCGTTCTCCAGCAGAAAAGATTATCCAAAGTACTACAAGCTGATTGATTGGTTAAATCTAGAACATGCAGCTAACAAAGAGGTTAATGACTAACATTTTTACATTGTTCAAACTGTTGTCCACACCTTTATTGATATATTCACAATGTTTCAGCTGTTGTTTGCTCTGACTGTTTGAAAAGGTCCAGTTTGAAATTCTGATGTTTAACACCTGAAGTGATATATGTTTGAATTTCAAACTGAACCCTTTATTTAATTCACAGGGGTAGATTATAGATTAAATAAAGAGTCTGGTTTGAAATCCCAACTGTTATTATGCATAAGTTAATAAATGAATCCAACTTGAATTGGAACCCATCTCTCTGATTAACAATTTTGAACAATTATCTATTACACCACCTGCACATCCAAGCTTACAGCACCTAGTATTTCCAAGACATAAAAATAGATTTGAATTCACATCCAATTCTCTTGAGGTAATCTTCATCTAATTTCAAACTGAATACATTATACAATCCATATTGGGTAAAATAGTTCAGGGGTTCCTTTTGATGATTCCAGACCCCCCGATGGATTGTCCAATATGGTCCCATATATGTTCCCATAATATGGTCGGATCTAGACTCTCATGTGGATGTCATGTATGTCATCCAAATCATTGAGAAATGTTTCAAATGTATGCAACAGTTTTTCACATTAAAGATAACTTTGAGCAAACGAAATAACCCTACTTCTTTGATCTTCTTGGACTGCTGTGGAAGAATCACAAAGAAATAAAATTTACCAAATGATAGAGACAGCATCATTTGAGTATTTTCAACAGCAGCAACAAGTAAAATAGATATAACGTATAGAAATTGATAGATCATCAAGTCAATACAAACAATCCTTTTCTTAGATGCATAGTATGTGCTTCATAAGGGCTCCACAGAGTTTTCAATTCAAAGTCTTTCCTTCCCTTAGACCCTTGTTATTCAAGGTTATTACTCCAAATATAACTTGAAGAGAAAGTATTAATATACTCAAGATTTTGACATTCCAGACGACATGAAACAAAAGGTTGGGAAGGAAACCTCCATCAATATTAGAAAGAGCAATAACAGTTACTGGACTAACAATTGTTATTTTCCTGAAAAAATTTTTAATAGAAAGGTTTTATAAATTTCACCTTAGAGTAGCACTGGTCAATGATTGAAAAATATTTCCTTATAAGGAAACGGCTAATATTAACATTATCATTATTATTACTTCTCCAGGATTTGTTTTTTTTTCTACGTGGTGACAAGTAGGACGTAAATAAAAGAATCCATGTGTTAAAAACATTCAAGAGAAGTAAGGATTTCTTGAAGGAGTAACTTGACATTATTTATTTTTATATTTTTATAATTATTTTCTTTTCTCTTAAATTGCTATTTGCTTTACCAATTCACAATAAAACTGCCACCAGTTCTCATATTAAAATGATTTCTTCATTTTTATTTTTTGCTGGAAACAAGTTGTCAACATAAACAAGAGAGGCCAACCCTTCCCATGAGCCCTCAGTCTATCTTACCTTCATCCCTTATCCCTATCTGTTATAACTTGTCCATTATTTACTTCATTATGCTTTTGAAAGACTTTCATGCGATTTTAGAAACTTTTTATTAGCTTTCATTTTATTCTGTTTTTTTTTTTTATTTGAATCAGCCAACATAACACCTGTGAGCAGAATAAAATGACATTGCAAATGGAGGAGGAAAACATTCAGAGGTGAAGAATGGAGACGTGACGTGTTGAAGTATGACAACACGACAATGAGGCTCACGTTGCTTTTTGTCCTCTGCGAAGCAGTTGTAAAAAGAAAACATCTACACTGCCATGTTTTGTATTATACATTTATTTCATTTTACCTACTATTATATATCTTCTATCTTGTGAACACACACACACACATATGTGTGTGTGTGTGTGTGTGTGTAAAGAGAGAGAATGGAAGTAAGAAGAATATAAAAAATGTATACATAATGACCTATAAGTACTAATATATAAATTTAAGGATATATGCTCATGAAAAACACATACAAATACAATGCACATACAAGACAATATATATACCTATATGTATGTATGTATGTGTGTATGTGTAGGTATAATCTTTGTATATTTCCATGTATATATATCTAAATATGACTTAACAATCTATCTATCATATATATATATATATATATATATATATATATATATATATATATATATATATATTATTATTAATAATAATAATAATAATAATAATAAATATTTATTTTCTTCAGCAATAGCACAACAAGTTTCAAACTCAATGCAATTGTCAAATCTCAATCGGCAACTGACAACTGCATTGTGCATCAAACTCAGAGTTCTTCTACTGGTGAGGAAAATGTATAGAATTAATATAAATTATAGCTCTGTTATAGAGCACTCTTTTATTAGTCTTGTTGCAGAAGTATGTTTAAATTGGAAATCATGTGTCTCCTGGTATATATTTCCCACAACAAAAATAGCAGACTTAGAATGTGGATCTGGGTAAAAAAAAACAATGAAATAACAATATATATATATATATATATATATATATATATACGATAAATATGTATTAACAAAACATGATTATACATAGACAATAGAAGATTGTTGTGTGTGACAAAACAGTGAACATATATGATGAAAGTGTTTAAACCACGTGCATTGTTTGAGTGTGTGAAGTTGTGTGGAAGTAAATTCTAAAGAAAGGTGTTACATGGAAGAAAATGAAGAGAAAGGTTATGATATATGTGCATATTTGTACACATGTGTACACACATGTGTACACACATGTGTACACACATGTGTACCATGAGGAAAGTGTTTTCCAGTGGGGAAAGCATTTTCCTCATCTGACCTACATCTTACTGTCCCTGAGTGAAATAGGAAGAAAAGAGAATGACAACTGTCCATATATAGGTTTAATGAGTCTCCCCTAGCAGCATTTATTCTTAAGAAAGTAAGTGGGGTAACACAACAATACTCCGCTCCAAATGGGGAGAATTTTATTCTGCCCATATGTACATAAAGTTTGTGTATGCTTGTTTTGTCCCTCATAGGCTGAAAAGAAAAAGTTTTGAGTCACATGGTTGCAATGTGTGCTTAAACATGTCAATAAAAACGGACTTGTCTAAAGTACCGTGTCATCAGAGTGCTATATAATTCTCTAGTGGGTCAGAGTTGTAGCACATCCTGGAAGATAAGTTGATAGTCCAGAAAAGGCGTGTTCATCAGTTGGTATTAAAACTTGGTTTTTCAATGCTGCACATTGAGTTGGTTTTGTTTGGAAGGCCTCGTTTGCTTGCTGTGTGTGGGTGATGTTGGTATACAAAAGTTTAATAGAAGAAGCGTCAATTTGTAAAGTTGTTCAGCTGATATTGATGAAAATGCTATCATGAGTTGAATATGAGAACTTAAGATATCTGCTATTATTGTTGACTTTTTTTGGAGACACAGCTACCTCTGTGTATTATTAAATCGTACTTGCAGATTTCTTAGTTTGGTCATGTTTACTTCTTTGAAGAGTGAAAAAGGTCAGTGAGTCGCCTTTGGAATTATTTCGCAATTTATCTGTTGAGCCTAGGAGAAACAGTGTTATTTAAAAATGAAAATGGAGTTGACTATCATTGTGTTTGAATGGTATTTTTCGCGTGGTCTGTGTAGGTTAACTTGTGATGTAATGGAATAACCTGCTACCTCCTATGAGTGGCAGCACTATAGGTGGTAACCACCTATAAGTATCCATTAGAACAGTGGACAGCAGAGTCGAGTTGGGATCTGTGAGAACTATCAGCCTTCTGATAGCAGCACGCATACAACTGTACTGACTTGCGATGACCGGGGTTCTTGATAAGATCTAGAGACATATATGCAATGTAATTGGTCCTGATCTGGCATCTCGTGTGCAGTCACTCTCTCACAGACATGTCGTCGTCTCTATCTGTCTTTTTTTTTTGTTATGGTCCAATATCCTCGCACCACATTTATTGTCTAAGGTTAGAACCAAGGAAGAACAACACAAACACAAGAGTAGAATAACAAAGATATATTACGACAGAAATATAGTACAAGAAGTTGAAGGTAATTTAGTAATGCCTGTCCGTCTGGTTTAGAGTGAACTAATATTGTCTCGACTCGTTACACCATTCATTCATTATACCTCTGGAGAGGAGCAGTATTTATAGTATCAGGAAGAGTCCATTATCGTTATAGGTAAGTTCCCATAACATTTTTACAAATACTTTCATGGTAATTGCTCCGATGAACTGCTTTCCCAGATTCCATAAATTCAAGTGTATTATGAGGCTGGCATCCCCTCTCACCCATTCACTGTTGAAACTGTTAAATGTAGCCATCTTTTCTAGTTCAATAGCTTCATATCTAGCAATTCTCGCTTGTGGAACTCCCTCCCGTCTTCCTGTTTCCCTGATAGCTATAATCTCCAACTATTCAAATGTAATGTCAATCGACATCTCCAGTTGCCTTGATCTCTCCACTATCCTTCTCCCCATCCTTTCCTCTATCCCTCTTATCTGCTTTTATTCCAAATTCTCTGTAACCCCTTGTGTGCTAGTGGCTTCCCGCCTTGCTTGGGGTGAAATGCTTAAAAAAAAAATATTTCTTTGCTTGTTGTTTTGGTTTCTACAATAAACCTGTTATTATTTATCCAACGTGGTTGTCCATTCCATATTCCTATTAGCACGGAATATAACAACTAAATTCTAGTGGTACCCTTGAAGAAAATGAGTTGGGTTTTCCTTGTTTCAAACTTGAAGGTGAAAGTCATAGTTTTGTTCTTGGCGA